AGTAGAAAAAGGGTCACTTCAGGCTGCACAACTTCACCGCTGGCATATGGCAGCAAACCCACACCAGAAACACAAGATCTTCCTCCCCTCTAAAACAGATGGCACGCCGATCAAGTCGGATATAATCTGATGCTAGCTGCACTACTACTGCTATTAAATCAGGAACCAAAAGCAGTGGAAAGTAGTACAAAGAAAAACCCAATGCAGGGGAGGCAGAGGACAACAAGGAAGAATAGTGAAGAACAGTAACAGGAGACAACCTACAGCAGCAAAGGCAGACTGCTTTTGGGTACATTTGCGATTTAACAACCAGGAACTGCAATAGGAAAGGAGCTGCAGTGGCCCTCATCCGATTACAGAGGACGTTCCCCTGGCCTGATGCTGGCCCAGTTCCCTCTGCTCTTGTGATTCACTGCACTGGGCACCTGCCAGGGGCTACATATCCTGCCTGCTTACATAATTACATATTTATGATTCTGCCGAGAATTCTTAGTCAAAGCTTATTTCTGAACTGTAAAATGCCTACAGGATCAGCAGAGAAAGTTCTCCAACAAATGAGACTTCACAAGAGAGCCACCACTTCTTGTAATTTTTAAGGACGGTGGTTTCCTCTTCAGCTGAATCATTCAGTAAGTAAACTTCAACTGGCAGCAAAATAAAGGCAAGCGGTGCTTTCCTTTTGAAACAGAGACTGCTAGTGGCTTTTATTTGTTCTTTGTAAATATATATATATACATATATATAATTAAGAACCCCTCCACAAATGTCTCAGAATGCAGCAGTAAATAAACTTTTAATTCTTATCACAGCATGCATCCTCTCACAATACAGTCAATACTTCCTCTATATCATATTACCAGCACTTCCTCTTCAACACATATACCACTATGTCAGCTTATTCATGCTGATCCAATAAAGAGAATTTATGGATGAACACTCCAAAATATATTTTTTCAGCTGTAACCAATTATCAGACAAGAAAACCACTGCACTCCACCTTTCTTTGTTGATAATAGCATCCATTGATTTTAGAAGGAGCAGAACAGCCCAAAATTTCATGTCATCACTCAGTTTAGACTAGTTCAAAAACTGCTACAAATACACACATAGATAACTTCCTTTTAAAGGTGTACTCCATCAGCTGTACAGCCAAAACCTTCAGCAGTAAATTTCATGAGCATCTGTAGGCTCTACCACTGAAAACACTTTCAAGCTTGGTTAGCTTTACGCACATAAGTATTTCTCACATCTGAAAAGAACCATTCCTACACCTGAAGTTATATGCATGCATACAAACATGCATTTGAAGTAGTCTTACTACTAAGTCTACTTAGTCTTGTAGAGCTATTTACTTTAAAGCAACTATTCACATCATGTTAGCAGTACCTTAAGGACTTCCAAGTTTCAAATCCCCTTCAAAGCAAGGGCCCCTGTTTTTAACGTAAGAAAAACCAAACTTCAGCTGTACCATTTCTTTGTGATTCTGACACAACACGCAGCTCCTGCAAGAACAGCACTCACACACTTACACCTATTACCACTCCCCTGACTTGAGCCAAACCTGCCATACCGACCCAGGGCAACTACCAGTAATCCTTCACTTCCCTTTGCACCACACTTCCCTATGGGCCCCTGAGGTTATTGGCACAACCTCCTGCTGCCCTTGGGCGTCTTAAGCAAATGGACTGCCAGAAAATTACATTCACTCGCTCCCTCTGCTGCCTTAGAAGTAGCAGAAAGATCACAGGAAGACTCTACAGACAGCACCACAGAAGGGTTCCAAGAGCAAGATCCGTCACGATCTCAGGGAGGTTTTTGCAGACATCTTCTAATCCTGCCAGTGGATGCATTGCATTTTCTTTGGAAGGAGTGCTTCTCCTGCCCGTCCTCCAACCACTCTTGCTGTTTCTGGGCAAAACCTGTCAGGTTAATTACGCTGAAGTGTTGCACTCATGGAACTTCCCGCCGTGAGAGCCTTGGTGCCTGCAAAGCTCTTCTCCTGAACAAGTCTCTTGCACATAAGAACAGCTGTTCTACCATTCCTACGGAATTAAACCCATCACAGCAAGCTGCCATACAATGCTAAAACCCAATGCTTGCCAGTTTTCAGTAGCTTTCTAGTTTCTGTGCACTCCTTCAGGCTGCTGGACTAGACAAGCTTTGACAACCCCCTTCCAACAGAACCATTCTATTCAAATTAGTCATATATATAAATACATACACATGAATATAAACAAAAATACTCCTATGTAGCTCCATGTATTTATAGGTACACATACCCACACATAGGCAAAGAAAGGAAGAAAAAGAAAGCAAGGCAAACTGCCCTGCCTCCAAAACTCACTGCACAGTAGGACGGAAAATACCTCTTGGGTAAGCTAGCTTTTCCATCACACTGCAAAAATAATAATAATAGTTTGCTAAAGCTTTTATGGAAAATCTGATGCCATCTTGCCTCTAGGCCAAAGGACCAAGACTTTCATTTTTATTTCCAACACATTCGTTAACCCTTGTGACCTGAGGCACCCCGTTAGCAGCCTCCAAATTAACCTCTGAAATCCCAGAAAACACTGCATTATGCACCTATCTGCCTTCCTCACAAAGCCTTTTTCTGTTAACTTCTCAACTTTCCCTAAAGAGGCCAATCCACACCAACCACAGCCATACTCCACTTTAAAAGGCTTCAACACAATATAAATACATGATTTTACAAAAACTGCCAACAACTCCAGTATGTTTTTAAGAATGAACTAATACTGTACCCTGTGTTAACACAACATATCTCACACACACACACACACACACACACACACACACACAACATCATCTTTTATTCACCTTTAAAATGAAACAAAGCAAAAACAAAAGAGGATGTATAACTTGTGTAACTTCAGCATTTTAGTGCTGGTGTGGTTGGTTTTTTTTGACTCGCAAGAAATGGAACTAACAGCAATGATTAGCAGACTGATCAAAAAGCTCGTATCATTTCTCATGGGAATCAAAAACGTATTTCTGATTGAAAAACACGTATTAAACATGGGTAGTCAAATGAAACCAATGCTGTGAGAAGAGCACAAACTGCTTTCTGCAGGTCAGCCCCTGTCCCACTCTTTGTCTACACATCAAAGAGAATAATAACATAATAAAAACCCACGACAGTTGTATTTTACTACGATCTGGAGTAAGCTATCATTACTTTGAGATGGTGATGAAGGTGCCTAGCTTGGCACTTAAATCCACATTCAAACTGTTTCAAAGTTAATCAAGAGATGAGTAATTGTTTAGAAATCTCTGGAATAATGAAATATGCCACCAAACTATTTCACTTCGCTACACGTTACAGCTGAGCATGTTTTACGATCCCTGTAACAACGAGCATGCCCTTGAGAGAGTACAATTCTGAATTTCTAACATAATTTGTAGAGGGAAAATTAGGGCAAAACGCAGCAACATTTCAAATAGAGTCTCTGAGTACTTTAAAATTTTATGAAGTATAAGGACTAGGTTAATACGGAATGAGTCACGTTTTTAAGAGAAGCAGTAACACAGACCTGAATTTCAAGTCATAACTAAAACCATGCACAACTAACACAAAATAAAAAGAAATCAGAGAAGCCTTCTGTTGGGAAAAGGTCAACAGCACAGTGAAAACTCAGCAGCAACAGAAGAGTCCGAGGGCACTGCTGGTTTCACATTCAGGCAATTAAAATGCCAGGCTATGAGACCAGGTACAACTGGCACCTTCTTACTCACAACTCTTACTCCACAACTCCCTACAGCTGAAATTCATCCCAAGCAAAAATAAAGTGCAGTTCATATCTGCAAAGTTTGAGCTTAAACATCAGGGTATTAAAGGGCACAAACTCTTGTATAGATCATCCGATCTCCGAGTTGTCTTTGCGTGGTGCCAAACACGTGCTGCATTACTCTTCACCCCATGATGTCCCACAGTCAACAGGCTCACTGACTGCATTTCCCAGGAATCAGTTACACCCAAACTCTCTCAAACTTTTTTCATGGGACAAAGCAGAGTTGTTAAGCTGTTGGTGAAACTACAACTACAACGTACTCTTTAGACCCACGCGCCCACACAAATCAACTCAGCTCTCAGATCCCAAACTGAGTTTCACACCTTGTGATTAGAAACACCATCCTTTTAGCACTGAGCATAATGATCTAGACATGCCTGAAATGCAGGCTGACACTTCCTGTATGTAGTTCTTTAGTCCAGTGCTGCATTTGACACTCCCATAACGCGGCTCACTGTGATAACCTAAGACTCAGAACTGCTGAAAGGAGACTTTGAATCTAATCAAAGTCACAGGTTAAGTTCCAGTCTCAGAACTGGAACTCAGTCTTCAGAACTCACCTTTGCCTTCCACCTACACGACTGTTAGAATACAGAAATACACCATAATGACAATTTGCAAATATCACCTTCCAGCCATCCAAAACGTTCAGTAATATTCCAGAGATGGGAGTAAGAAGATCACACCAACCAAGACTATTTCTAGAGAGAACTTTAACTTCACTGGTCTTCCTCTGTCAAATGCACTGAAGCAAAATACACCTGACACTGTGTACATTTGTAATAGGAGATGCTGTTAGCATTGAAATAAGAAGCAGAGAGCCCCCCCCAAGGGGGTCAACAGAGCACTCATCTCAACTACAACTTGCCCAGAACAGGCTTTTGGCCAAAAGAGGAAGCAAAACCAGCTACGAGCAGGATGAGCTATGTCATTCTCAAGTCACTCTCCTTGCTTCAAGATTAACATGCTGCCCTACTTTCCACAGGGTAAAGGAGAAACAACTTCAATATTCTGTCAAACAGAATAAAGCTCTAGATGTTTCTTAGGAAAAAAAAAATAAATCAATTTGTGTACTGGAAAAAAAACACCACCACCACAGTCACTCTGAAAGTACTGTCTGCAGCAGAAGAGGACCTATGGTGTATTTGCAAGAAGAAACCACACCACTAACTCAGTTAAAAAGGTGCTTACCATTGGCAGTGCATTGATATGCAGAAGTTTTCCTTTCAGGTGTCTCTTGCCACAGAGGGGTGATGCTGAAAGAAGCAAGGAGACAAATAGGAAAAATTAGTATTTATTATTCTGAAAACAGCAGCATTAACACAGTACAACATCAGCACAGCCCACCCCACTGCTCCTGGCACCAAACTCGTGTTCTGCCTGCACCTGCAGAGCCCCATCATACAGCACCCTGTAGGGAGCCTGCAGCACCCACCTCTGAGCACTGCCTGGTCAGTGAGCACCAGCACCGCCTGACCTCAACAGTACTGCACCCAATCAGGAGCACAAACCACTACCTGTATCAAAGCCCTCATGTCTGGATTTGCCTTAACTTTCCAGAAAAGACTGTGGGATGCTAACCAGGCACAGCAGGCAGCTCCCAAGACCTTTTGCCCATGCCAAATCCATTCCGGAAATAAACTTCAGCAATGGACATTAAACACCCTGAAAGCCCCACATAAAAATTAACACTGCAGTGCTTTGACAGAGAACCTCTTTTACAAAATGGTTACATCCACTGAGAAGCAGCAATTCAAATAAATAAATAAATCCAAGCTGTTTTCCTACCACATTCCGTGCTGGGCAACCAGGTTTACGGCCATAGGTGTGCCCAGGCACCAGACAGCCCAGAGCTCTGCAGTGAGCTCAGTGCCTGAGCCAGCAGCTCGCACTGATTGCCCGAATCTGGCAATATGCACACAACAGAAATCTTGCAAGAAATCTTTCCCATCTTCCAAAGCAGAAGAATGTAGTCCAAAACCTCCCATGCTAACATAAGACTGCATAAGATTGTTTTCTTTAAATTCCCCTGGTAATTTTATAAATAATAAATGTTTCATGCATCCTACAATAAAATAGGTAAGTACAGGCAAACACTTTTCCACATCCAAGTGTGTGAGTGTGTGTGGACTCCATGCAGGGCTGTAACCATTTCCATGTAGCACCAGTTAATTATTTTTACTCATACCAACATTTATGCATGGCTGCTCACCATGCAAGTACTTGCACACTACCTTTCTTGTTAGGAAATAATTTCATCACCCACTCAAAGAGCAGAAAGAGGGACAGAAGGATATGGGTGACCAGTAAAGCATTATCCGTCTGGTTTTAGATTAAACAAAACATCTCCAAGCTATTCAAAAACCTTTACAGCAAGTAAAGAACCTTCAGGGCTCGTGACTAACACTGTTCTCAAGTGCCATTCCCAAAGTCAATCAGTAGGAAACGGCTGATTACAAACCCATGTCTGAACCCACCGTCAGGGCAGGCAGAACCTAACAGCACAAGGAGCTGCTGCAGAGGATGCTGAAGAATGCAAGTATGTGGGGAATTGAAAAAATGTGCACACATGCTCATTTTCTGTTCCTTGGCTGTGCTGGCAGGGCAGTAGCTATGTACATGAGGAGAGGAGAGCTGCCCTTGCCAAGGGGCACGTTGGCCCACGTGGGGCTGGTCACAGTGTTCTTCCCTGCCGCAAGGGCTGCAGGGCAGCATGGAAGAAAAGGCTTCATGGGCTCGCTCAGCAAATCCCATAAACAAACGTTATTTGCCAACAACTGGAGTTTTCCTTAAAAACAAGAAGAAACAACCAATATCTGCCCTCCTCATCTGAAAGCAGGATAGATCAGTGTCAGGTCTGTGTCTCGCACACGATGGAGGAGAGCTCCACGCAATATGTCCTTCAGGTTGTGTCACTTGCAAAGGAACATGTCAAACATAAATCAAATAGCAACTGCACAGACACTTCCAATGATAAAAGGCCTTCTTCAGTGCCCACTGCCCCAACTGCCCGCACACCTCACGGCCAGGCTGGATGCCCAGCCTCCTCACCTGTGCCTTACATCTGAACTGAACAGGGACATGGGAAAACCTGGAAGAAGAGTAGCAAGTACACCAAGAGCTCCCTGACTCTGCTACACTCCTCCTTGTCTGCTGTGGCTCTGATTTTAAAGAGGAGCACTTGAAATGACAGACTTTTGGAAAACACTGGGACGTCCTTCTTCAGAGCCTTCTTCTTCTGCTGAGCACCGACTCTGCCTTGTCAGCAGATTTTTCCTTCCCAATTTATCCTATTGGAATTTGTTATTTGGCACATACCTTGAAATAAAGCAGGCGACAGCTGTAATGTATTGATTTTAGACTCGCTCTCTTTATAGCCGACCTGCTACACTGATTTGACCAGGTGACCAGGTGTAGTAACAGCCACACTACCCAACATTTAAAAATAACCCGCTAAATGCTCTTGAGGCTGATAAGACACACCTGTGCAGAGAATATCAGCTGCTGCCTTTAGATCCCTCCTCTAGGAGAAAGCAGGATTTTGTGGTTTTAGTTTTTGTTGGTGTTTTCTTTTGAACACCTTCAGTTTGACTGGATTACTCCTCTCAACCTAAGAAGAAATACAACTTGAGGAAGAAGTGCATCCTGCCAGATCCCGGGGTTGGCAGCACACTCTGGCCAGCTCTGCCCGCACCGCACAGACCAGCCCACCAGCAAGGCTCTCCCCACACCTGCTAGCTAAAAACAAAACCAAAATGGCAACTCATGCTATCAGCATCTAGGCCTGTCACCATCACCAAGTCATAATGGTGTGCTACCAAGACAAACCAGCACTGGGGCTGGAAATGCTCATCATCTTCTGCGCGAGCAGAGCTGCTGCCACTCCCCATTTCCACTTGCGCGCTCGGATTTTTCTCCTAATCCTCTTAGGACAGCAATGTTTATACTGCTTTCTGAGACTTTTGTGCTATTTGAGCTTTAATAACAAATTTGCTCATTAAATGCTGTGTTCTGTGAATTACAAAGGCCTTCCAAGGACAGCTCTTTCCTCCTCAATTCTCCTCGAGTGACCCACCTTCATCTGGCTTCAGTATCTGCAGAGTGTCCCAATCAAAACAGAATTAAAAATAACTAAATCCTGGATGTTCCTCTCAGTAACTAGGCTGCAAAAAGCATCAGACAATAGCTTTAAAAGCCTAAATTGAAAACTAATCACTGCATTGAATCCTTCCTTTCATTTGGTTAATAGGCATATACAAAACCAGTGGTGATTCTGCCATTGCCACGCTTGGAACGTAAACAGAGAAAATCAAAAGTTACTTCTTGTAATCACACTTTCACTGCAATCTATGGGATTTTTAAAGAAACCAGCCCAGTACTTCTGCAATAACATCTGCTTTTGGATCTAAGAGAGAAACTGAATTCAGATTTATCACAAGTCATGAAGGTCAACCAACTGGAGTCAAGAAGACCAAGTCAAGAAGAGAAATAAATATGGACAAGTGAGGGAAAATGGTAAAGAATAAATGAGGACCGCACACAAGGCAGCATTAAAAACGGTCATCACGTGGCTAATTGCAGCTGGTGCTGCCCAGCATGAGCCAGCCCGGGGCTGCTGAAGGGCCAAGCCAGAGGGAAGGCCCAGCATCACAACCAGAGCGCTCAGGGGCTCATCACAGCACTGCGTGCAAGGCCACGTGGGATCACAGTCGGTACTCAGAGATCCCCAGAGAGGTGTCTGTCTGATCCCGAGCTCCAACTGAAGCAGCTTTCCTCTGCCAATTAACTGAGAAATCTTCATTTCCTAACCTTGGTTCTGGTTTTAGGTCTTCATTATGTAAGAAATCTGGAAAACACAGATGCAAGCCAACTTTCTGGACTTTTAGATGAATATGTATATACATACACAAACACACACACATAAAAGTTGCACAACTGCTCTGGAGAAAACAGAATCCAGATATAAAAGCACCTTTCAAAGTGCACAACGCAGCACTCACTGTGCTATGATAAGCACAGAAAAGCAAGACTAAAGCAAGACAATATTGCAGCATGGCAGCAGTTGCCTCCACACTTAACGAAAATTTCTTTAAAAGCCCAAAACTGAAGGAATCATAGAAGACTGCTTATAACATACTGAAAGGAAAGGAAGCTCAATTGCTGGAAAGGAAACCGTACTGGCCAGCCCCATTAAAAACACATAAAGCACAGGAGTAATCTTGTCAATACCAATTAGTTTGTACCATCAGGGAAGGCGGGGGAAGAGCCCCACTGCAGCACAATTTCACTTGCAAGTCATTTAAATGAAATTCATTAGTAAGTAACCCAATTCACAAACTGGAAGTTAAAAATCCTAGAGAACAAAATATAACCCAGCCGAGGGTGGGAAGAGCATGAATGGTTGTTGCTCCAACAGCTCTTGCTCCAAGTGCTGAGCACGATGTGCCATAAATCCCACCTCTACACTGCCATGTACATGACCACCATGCATCCATATAAACCCCAGGTACATTTAATTTGTGCTGCTTGTTTGTTCTCTTCTGAAAATAGTGGATGTTGATTCACTGACAAATGTATCTCAGTTCTAGAATAAAAACACAAAATTTAAATTCACCACAGAGGGAAAAAAAAATGAAGAAAAAAAAAGTTCCAAATTGTGTTTAATTCACTCTCCTGGAGGTGGGAAGAGTCTCTTCCCTGTGACAGCACTTCCCAAACATCCTCAGCAGCAACAGCCACCAGTGACTTCCAGCACAGCATCACGGCTGGATGGCAGAAATCCCTTCCTTTGCCAGCACGGGAACCTGTTCCTATGAACTGATAACAAGGTTACCAGGGCTTCTAAACAGGTCTGTAATCTTGGTACGGAACAAAGCTCAAATGGCAGCTTTGGATAAAAGACCTTTCTCACTGAGATTTCTGCTCCCAGTGTCCTCCATATCTGAAAACAGGCAGGGCAGACAAGATGTTCCTCTGCTTTGGGACTCATCGTGGTGCTGCAGAAGCAGAAAGCACCAGAAATTGCTAGAGTAGGGCAAGGATACCACTCTACATGCTTCTTCAACTCATTTCTTCTTAAATGATCTAATTCATTGAATTCATTGGAACTCTGTGTCAAGTGTGCCCTGCTTTGGGAGGTGGGATGCACGTCACAGGTAGATGTCACATTTGGAAGTGCTGCTGAAATGTCTGAATAAGGAATTCCCTGAAAGTAACAAGAGGACATAACATCGTGGTATTTCCAATCCTACAGATG